CAACTACTGGGAGCACCTAATACAAAGAAGTGGCAATGTTGGGGCGAGGGGGAAAGGATCGTCTTATAACCTCTCAGAAGTTTTTCATCACAGGTTAATATCCAAATTTGAGAACCATAAGAAATCACATGCAGCCTTTTATTCAATGAGCAGTTAGTGTCTTAGGTACGAGATGCCACGGGAACAAAACTCAGTAAAGACACATTTTTCTTTTTTTTAATCCTCACCTGAGAATATGTTTATTGACTTTAGAAAAGAAGGGAGGGGGAGAGAGAGAGAGAGAAACATCAATCAGTTGCCTCCCAAATGTGCCCTGACTAGGGATTGATGCCACAACTCAGGTATATGCCCTGACCAGGAATCAAACCCACAACTTTTTTGGTGTATGGGATGATGCTCCAACCAACCAAGCTGCCTGCCAGGGAAAGACACATTTCTCATCTGAAGGGAAAGATATATGAGTCAATCAGACAGTATAAAACTATGTGTTACTACTAGAGTAAAGGTTCTCATGACCTACCCAGCCTCAGGGAATCCCAAAGAAAAACAATGGGAGTAAGAAAAGACACTGAATGGATGCTTGAGGTGCCATCTACCATTCTGTGAACTCACCTATCCCCAACACCTGACTGTGTTCTCTCCGTGTCCCTACACCAAAATGATTAAACCACAAAATAACTTCACTATTATAGACACATGGCTTCCTTACCTTCTTTTAGTCATCCAACAAATAATTATTGAGTAACTACTATATGCCAGGTGCCTTCTAATCCAGGTCTGATGACACAATTATCCTAAGCCTCATATTCATGAAGGGTTTCTAGTGTAGATTTTTAAATTCTTTCCAAATTATATCATATATGCAGTCACAGAGATATGCTTATAGAATTAAACTTCAAAGCATATTACAATTTTTATAATCCTGTTCTGGCAATTTAAAATATATACACAAGTCCCCCAAATCCCAAGCTGCATATTATCCATGGAAGTGATCTTGGTCTTTCTTGATCTCTTTGGGGTCTGCTGAGCACTCAAGGAGGAGTGACAACAAACAAGCCAGTTGTTGTACTTGCACTCACAGATATCAAGTAAGAACACACACCAAACCGATACCCGTAGTGCCTGCATGGCAGGACGGTGGCATGAGGCGAGACTGAGCTGGTAAACCAAGCTTTCACTTTATCTGAATTGTTTGAATTTTTACAGTATGGACATATCCATGTATCACTTGTGCAGTCATTATGCACTTCTATACCAGGTACATCAAGAAAGGGACCAAGGGAGAGGCTGATCCCAATGTGGATCAAGGAGAATGAGAGAAATGCCAAGTTGTTAGAGCTTCAGGGTTGGTCTGGAGCTAACATAGCTGCACACAACTTCACGGTGACTGTTGTCTCCATGTCCTGTGGGAAGCACTGCCAGGCATGGACACAAGACTTCCCATTTCTGATCTCTCTACTGGGCTTAATCATCTTCTGATCCCAAATGGAATGACTTACTCTCATGTACTGAGTAACATGGATGATCAACATGTTACTCTCAAATATTGGTTTGAAACTTGTCTTTCCATGAACAGCAAAATAATCTTACCAGAAGATGCCAAGTGCCCCTAAGCTGAATCACAGTCACTATGTCTAGACTGAAATGTCTCATATCTACTTTGTCAAACAAGTTGTGCCCTGCCCATTACTATAAACTGTATAATCCACATAGACTTTCCACTGCTCCACTGACAACAGGGCAGCCCCTGCTAATCAGATTTCTCTCTGAGGAAAACTTAGCCATGTAAATAATCTCAAGACATGCTAGGGAAATAAGAACAGGTATCATGCAAACATTAGCCATGTCCTCACATAGCTTACTAATGGCAGACTGGTCAGTTGTGACAAATTTGGGGGCAAAAATGTTTCCTTACACTGTCATTCTTTTCAATTTTCTAATTGTAGTTTGAAATATATTCAGATAGTGTGGCTTTTACAGAACAGAGGTGTGAATAATGACTGGTCGTCCAGTAATGTTTTTGATCAGAGCCATTATGTGTGAGCATACATGTATGTGTGTGCACTGTTTTGCTATATGACAGGGTCCCTCTTTGGAGTGTGCATGGTTGTTAGGGGTATGTGCACAAGTAAAGCCAATGCAGAGAAATACAATGGAAAGTGCCTCTGCATGAAGTGGACAGCTAACAGGGAAAGCTTCCCACAGAGAACTTCATATTTGAGTTCTGTTCTAAGAGGTCAAGGGGAGCTTGCATGGTGAATAGGTAAAATAGGAGAAACCCAGTTAAATTTGAATTTTGAATAAACAATAAATGATTTTGTAGGTACATCACAAATATTGCATGGGTGTTCAGTATTTTTATTTGCTAAATCAGGCAATCCTAATGATAGAAGAGGTGAAGATATGCATGTCAATCATCTGTCCTCCTTTGTCATGAATATTGTCAACATCAGCATCAATTAACATTTACAGACTGCAATGAATGAGGTGCATGCTTATGGAAGGCTATCCATCACTCCTGCTACTGGAAACACTAGAACATGCCTGCTTCTTCAATCATGACTCCTTGAGATTCTAGAATTCACCCTATTCCTCCTTCTTCAAGACCTAGCTCATGACTGGCATGTGCTAGGTGCTTGAAATACAGTTGTGAACAAATGAGGATATGATGTGGAATGACCATAAAAGGAGGAAATTTTGGGTGAGGGAAATAAATTGACAAAACTGTACATGGCAGGAAATATAGGAACTTAATGGTAGTTAACAACAACCACTAGTTAGGAGTTGTTTTGTGAGGTATATAAGGAGGTCTGGCCCTCGATTTTATACATTGTTGAGGCTGTGCATGTGTGTAATTATAAACACATGTGCATATTTATATTAACACATGTATTTTTAAATGAAAAGTTGCAAGAATAGTACATTGAACTCCCATGTAGTCTATGTTATACATATCAACTGTACTGGAACTCAGTCTTAGAGAAAATTCACAGTCTTTTGAAGTATATACCCTAGAATAGAAATGTTTAACTAAAGTAGTACTGGTCCCACTGAAGATGTTGAATAATTTTTCTTTTTTAATGTACCTTATTTTTAAAATAATTTGTCTTATTAAATAAAGAAATGCTCGTGGACTAGACCAAACTTTAAAAACCTGGGTAAATAAAAATACAAAAATAAAAATCACCCATTATTTTTCCAGTCAGAAATAATGACAAAATATTTGTAGTATATATATTTCTAGGTGCTTTCTGCACTGATATGCGTATTTTGAAAATATCTAGCATATGTAAATATATAACAAATATGGTGTTGGACTATATATACTACCATATAAGCTTGTTTTTAAGTTACAAAGTAAATCTATTCAAATAAACAAATATGTTCCTACAATGTAATTTTAATGCTTGTACAGAAATTTTAACTGATGAATTACTTAACCAAGAACATATTGCTAAACATTTGAACTGCTTTTCATTTTTTGCTGTGAAAAACTTCCTGACAGCTAAGTCTTTAAAGTCATTCATTATTTTCTCTTGAGTATGAATTCCTAATGAGAGAAATTCTGAGTCAAAGATTATGTACATGTTTAAGGCTATTGATTCATGTCACCATTTTGCTCTCTACAAAGGTTGTGTCAATTTATATAGAAGATCCCTTTTTCCCAATTATTTTTCCAAGTTAGTCACTCCACAAAATCTGTGAAATCAGAATTTACAGAGAGAGAGCATATAGAGTAAAAATATGTAGTAAGTTTTCTTTTCATTGGAAACCAGTCCAAAAATTAGGATTTTGAGAAATCTCACTTGTCCACAATTAGCCTTTGGTACAGCCAACTCCTTTAAACAATAACATTTTAAGCCAAATTTTTAAGGAAAGTCTGCCATACTTGTGGAACTATGGTTGCTTACAATTCTAAAATGACTTTATTAAAAATTAATGTGTTTCTTTTTTTAAGATGATAATTAAACTAGCCTTATTTAATGACATTCCACCTCACATTCCTGGAGAAAGGAATATGGCCTAGACCACAACTAGAAGGTTATTTGATCAAACAAAGGGAAAACCATAAATGGCGGCTAACCATCATTACCATAGAGATATTGGTCCAGGTGAAAGTAGCTTGGCTAAATGGATAATCACCTAATCACTCACCTCCTCAATGAAGAACAAACTGGAACAAATACAAATCTTTACAGTGTCAAGAACCTCCAAAGAAAAAGGAAAGATAGCCAAGCAGAACTTTTAAAATACTGTCTAAGCCATATCTAAAAGTAAAAGAAATCTATGATACTATAAGAGAGAAGTTAATAGAGCAGAAAAATATTACTCAATATATAACTGCCTAGAGGACTTCTATGAAAGATATCAGAGTGTATGAAATGCTAGGCAGGGGTAGAAGTGCTGGCTCGATCTTGAGAAAAGCAAGGATAGTTGGGGAGTATCAGCATTTTCTAAAAGCAACAGAAAACCAGGCTAGCTTAGTCTTCTATTTGATAAGTGCCACGATCAATTGACCAACTCCATTTTTTATCTTTTTTGAGACCCGGAAAAATCAAATAAAAGAAAAAATATCCAAATATAGAAGCTTAATTTAACAAGATTAGACATACCATCAAATAATCATAGTCATTTGGTCAATGTCTACAATTAACTCAATGAGACAACATGTTTCACTATGGAGTCAGGTACAAAAACAAATTTTCTTGGGAGATTGCTTTCTCTTATGTAATCAAGTTGGGTGATATTCTGCATCAATCTTGTTATGATGATTCTATAGTACTAGGATGGAATTTCCAAAGTCAGCATAGTCACCCAAAGTTTAAAAAAAAAGCTCAGAGGTAAAGGGGCCAAAACCCTGAGAACCACAAAATGACAAATGAGAAAACTCCACCCCGCTGAAGAAATTCAGGTGTATAAAAGGCACACAAAGGCATACGTAAGCCCTAGAACATCATCATTAACCTTGAGTCTCGTGAATCTTTTGGCTTGGGAGAAAAATGAACACCAAGCCTGACGTGATTCAAAAGTGTGTGTGCCTTGTGGGTCTATTCATCACCGGCACCCTCTCTGTGGACTGTAACTCACTGCATGTTCACCTGCGTAGAGTCATCTGGAAAAATCTGAGACTTTTGAGCACTGTGAGCAATTCATTTCCTGTGGCGTGTCGAAGAGAAAACAAAGCTTTTGAGTTGCCCCAAGATATCCTGTCATACACCCAGCCTCTGAAAAGAGGCATCAAAGAAGCTTTTTATGAAATGTCCATGTTGGCCTTCAATATCTTCACTCCATCCACCTTCCAACCAACTTGGGAAGAGAAACACCTGAAGAAAATCCAAATTGGACTTGATAAGCAATTGCAGTATCTAGAGCGATGCTTGGAGGAAGAGAAGGAAAATGAAGACAAGAAAGAGGTGGAAGAGGATGAGAAGAAACACCCAGGAGCTTTGGTACTCCAGCTGAACCACCTAGAACTGAGGAGGTATTTCCACAGGATAGGCAGTTTTTTGAAAGACAAGAAATATAGTCACTGTGCCTGGGAGATTGTCCGAGTAGAAATCAGGAGATGTTTCTACTACTTTCAGAAATTCACAGCACTACTCAGGAGAAAATAAGGTAGACTTTTAATATAAAATTCCATTTCTCTCCAAATCTCCTTCCCCTTTATCTTCTTTTTAAGAATTACTGTGATATCTGTTAAGCCTGCTCTTGGCTGAATTGCTGGTTGTTTATGTGATGTTTACTCTCTCTACAGTTTGGCCTAGCAACATCAGCCACATTCACCTCTCTAAGAGAGGTAATGCCAATGTCTGCTGGGTGACCAAGAATTTTGTTACAAAGTTCTGAAGACAGTCCTGAAGACAGTAAGATTCCCACTCCATCTTCTACTTTCTGTTCCTCTTTCCTTTTGCTATTTTGTACGTGCTTTGATCCTCACCTTTGAACTTTATTAAGGCAATGGCTAGAGAATATGGATCAGAGAACGTTTCCAAATGTAACAACACCTCAATGACTTAACCTCTTGCTGCTAAGGTGTTCTAGTCTTAAATTAAGCCTGTTTCAAGAAATTATACAAACTTCCACAGAGTTAAAACCCTTCCTTTCTCCCCTTTCTTACACACACACACACACAAAAAGTTGACATTTCTGGTCCATTTGTTTCTCAGCTTGGTTTGTTTAAAATGATACCAAGTTTGTAGAATGGTGTTCTATTATTTTAAGAGAATGAAGATCCACTCTTTCATATGGGTTCTTTGAATTAGATGACCATTAATCTCATGTTCAGCCTTTGAGAGCCTATGATTCTAATGCAGAAAGCACTGTTTATTCCCAATTCACATTATTTGATTTCTACAGTCAAGGGCATGGAAAATGATGCAGAAAAGTACAGTATCTGCCCTCATCGTTTTGTGTCTCTGAAATGAAATGCCTACAGTCATCCTATAGAAGAATTTCACATTGGATTTTCCCAATTAGAAGATCGCTTTCTGTCTGTTAAGGAAATTAGTTATTTTAATAATACATGACACTTTAATACAGATTGCCTTTTAAAAAATTATTTTGTACCCAGATTACCTAGATTATTTACTTAAATTTTCTCATGTGGTCCCTCATCTGTATTAATTCATCATCTAGCTGAAATGAGCCTCTTCTTCATTCTCCTCCAACCCATTTCAGAATCATCTATCTACCTTCGAGCAAGAACTAACATCAAAATTGAGGCTACACAAATTCACAAAAAGGGTGAAATGTACCTGTTTTCAGCCCCTGGGAGACACCTCCTGCTATTTGTTTTAACAGTGTGCTGCTCTATTGTTTAGATTCAAGATTCATCCAAATGCAGGACTCAAAATTCATAGCCAAACAGAGAAAGTCTTATGATAAAACGGAGGCAACCTTCAGTCAGAAAGTTAGAAGAAATGATTAAAGGATGAGAACAAGTAGTGGATCATGGTCTGCTAGTTATCAGCGTAAGGGTCAGACCATAAAATGAGTTAGTATCACCTATTTAGTAAAAACTGCTCAACAGAGTTGCTCTACATGGAAAACAAGCAAGCAAACAAACAAACAACAGCATTAGAAACTGTAAAAGAGATGGGGCATGCAAGCTACTGAGCAGAAAGTATGAACTTGATATTTCCCATGAGTCTCTTTAATAAAGTCTTTGTGTGATCTCCCTCATAACTCTATTAGGATCATGTCAGTTACCTTAGTAATTTATGTCTGTAGTCTTGCCAAATGTTTGCTATACAAGAAGGAAGAGAATTGGCACTTCAAGTCAATAAAGATTGTCTGGTTGTAGCAGCAGGGGAAGAAGTCAGAACAGTATGCTTTTACTAAGAACACTTCTAGCCACAAAAAGAACATGACCACTGAAAAATAGGTAAGGAGACAAACTGGCATCATCCCTAAGGAAGAAATACAGACAATGTGCAAAAGAAGACACTGAGATACTCCCCTCCCATTCATCTGGCAAAGATGAAAAAAAATGATACTATAGAGTGTGAGTAGCGTATAACATATAGGAAAAAATCCTCTGTTTGTTGCTGGGGAGAGGGTAAACTGGCACATGTTTCCTCCGGGACAATAAGGCAATCTTTTTTTTTAATTGATTTTAGCAAAAGAGAAAGGGAGAGAGAAAGAAACATGGATTTGAGAAACATTGATTGGTTGCTTTCTGTACACACTCTGACAGGGAACCCAAACCCTGAACCGGCAACCTACAAATGTGCCCTGACCAGGAAACCAACCAGTGAATAATCAGTGCAGTGGACGATGCTTCAACCAGCTGAGTCATGCTGGCCAGGGCAAGGCAATATTAAATATTCTAAAAAGTCAGCAACTCCTTTGACCCAGTTATCCTATCTTCAGAAATTTATTCCAAGGAAGTAATTGGTTAAGATTGTTTACTGGAGCCTTGTTTATAATAATCCTCTTCCCTTTGCTTTCACCGTCACCTCTCTGTATTTTCTATTTCCTACAAAAATTGGGGGGGGGGGTATTTTTTTAATTCTAAGATTAAAGAAATTTATTGTCAAAAAAGCAAAAAATAGAAATTTATTGTCTACTACAATTACCCTGTTTTCCTTACTGGGGTAGCAGCTGGGACCAGCACTGCCGTTTCACTTTGTTGAAGGTGCCTGTGGGCACTTCTTGAGCAACCCAGGTCCTTTTTGCCACTTCTCCCCTGCTACTGCCACTATTTTTCAAAGAAACCCTTCTTTGGGGATTATTTTCAAAATGAAGTGTTTGAAGTGACTTCAGGTGCTTCAAAGACTTTACTTTTTCTTTTGTTGGTCCCACTCCTACTTTCCAGAAATTGCTGGAGAAAGTGCACTATGTGTCTATCTTCCTGATTTAGCAGTTCCCCTGTTTTTCTTCATTAAGTGTAAGCTCCAAAGTTCTGTTAACTTGGGCAAAGGGCGTACCCTTAGAACTGCAGAGCCAAGTGCACTTAAAATGCCTGAGCGGGTACATAGGTGGCAAGTGTTCAGATGGAAACTTCCTCCTTCTTCTGGCTTGGGGTAAGGATAAAGAATGTAACTGAGTCTCCTCGGAAGAGGGGCTGATTGGGGGGATCCCACAGAAAAAGCTGGTGGCTCTGGTATATATACGCTACCAGAAGGAATAGCCACAGGTGCAGACTCACCTCCTTTCACAGTCAGAACGACTTTCTGGGCACTATCCAAGGAGGACCCTGCTTTCTCAAAGTGGCCACTTCGTTTTTGCCCTGGTTCCTTAATAAATAATCCACACTCACTAAGAACAGGTACTACGTGCAAGAAATCTAATTTGTGAGGGAAGGCAGGGCAATAGGGCCACCTGTAATCTAACAGGCACACACCAACAGGGAAACTAGGGGCTAGTTCCAAGCCACCGGTTCCTAGGGCTTGGAAGCGTAAACACTCCCTTGGCGGCATCTGCGCTGTGTCCTCAGGGCCTTCCTTTTCTAAATGCAGAGAGGGGACCTGGGATTTAAAGTTGGGGATTCTGACTCTACTCGAAGTCAGAATCCCACGTTCATTCTGGAGGGGGCCCACCTTACCATTATTTCTAGGCAAAGACTTGAGGCTTCCTAGATTATTTCCCTCATCATTCTTTTTTAAGGCGACTCGCTGGCTCACCAGCCCTTGGAAACTCGCAGATCCCAGGACCTAGGCTTTCTGCCTGCCCGAAGTGCCCTGATCCTGTCCTGTACCTTTAGGAGGAGATGGAAATCCTCTGGAACCCACCCAAGGACACCCTGGAATGGAGCGGAACCTCGCTTCCACTCTCTGCAAACGGCACCCCTTTCAAATGTGCGCCCTTTGCGGTGCGCATTGGATAAGATCTGAGAAATGCGCCCTGGGCCACAGGCAGCAGAAGAGGTTGGGCAGAAACAACTTTCCCTACGCCCGAAGCCGCAAGGCAGGGGTGGGGTGGCCACGATGGGGTCGGGACCCTGGGCTGGAGCTGGCGGGGGGGCTGACGTGGGGAGCAAGAGTTTAGGACCCTAGGGGTTTCTTTCTCCCCCCAGCCCCGCCAAGTGTTGGAAAGGCACACAATAGGGGAAGGCGGAGAAACAAAAGGCCATTCGCCAGGATCTTAATCGGCTCCCTCGCCTGGTCCCCTCAGAAAGGACGTCTGGGGGGGTTAGGGAGCGGGGTGGTCAGGAAGGTGGGTGAAGGAGGGTCCTGAGGAGTTCGAGGTCTCTGGTACTTGTCAGCCCTTTTACCCTTCGGAGAGGGGCCCAAAGGCAGGGAGGCAAAATCAAAGGAATGTTAAAGGGTTTTCACCTTTTTCCTCAGTAGAGGGACAGGGAGGGGCTGGCATTCCAGATGTTTTGACAGTTGTTGGCTCTGGGGTTCAGCAGGATTTGTACGTCCTTTACACACCTCCCCACCAGAAGCACCAACAGTATAGGGGGTGACCTGCCCGACGGAGCAGAGCTCCGCTTCGCAGCCCCAAACCGAGCCTCCTCCTTCAAGATCCAGACGCCCTGAACGTTGTCCCCGGGCCCAGAAGCACTTTCGTAAAAGTTTGTCTTCCCACCACCCACACAGCCCAACACGCACCCTGCAGTCACCTTCCATTCGGGGTGTGTTCGGGGACAGACATGTACCCCAAAGGTACTAGGATTTTATTGATATATCCTCTAAAATCAAGGCCCCACTGCCCAGGAAAGGCGCGGGGGGAGCCGGCCAGAAGCCGAGCCGCGGACAGGGGTCTGAAGCACACTCCAAGCCCGGAAACGCGAGGAAGGCGGGCGGGGAAGCGGGGTCCGCCGCCTCCCGCTCCTCCGATGCACCCGCCCCCAGGTGTGCCCAGCACCTCTGCCAGCCTGGGCGCGACCGGGAGCGAGCAGCAGCCGGGCGGCGCCACCACCCTCGCTTGGAGCAGCTTCTCACTCACCGTGGGGTTTCACCTTCAGCCCGGGGCCCTGTCGGCTTCCTGAGCTGGGTAAACTGCAGCCGGCACGAAAGGAAGCGGGTGAGCTTGGGACAGGAGGAGCGACTCTTACGGATCCACGCCAGGGGCTCCGGGGCCAGTGAGCGCGCGGAGAGAGCGCTAGGCTCCAGCTGCCGCTGCCTCTGCTCCAGAGTAGCCCCGACTTGCACTCGAGGCGGCGGTGCCCCGGGGCGGCGAGAGGGGGACCTCCTGGCGGCCGCTGGGGGAATGGCAGCTCCATGGGGGAAAGAAATCGGGTCGCCCTTGGGTCATCTACCCTCAGGACAAAGAGGTGGGGCATGGACAATCTACCGGGCTCACAGCCTTAAGGAGAAGACATTGACACTCTGGCCAGGGGGTCGAGGAAGATATTGGATCAAGAAGGCTATGTTCTGGGTCCACAAGGGCGCATCCAAGGCACCAAGCTACCTAGAGAAGGGAAATCCCTTATCTTCTCCAAGATGTTCTGACTTGAAAAATCCCATATTCTGACTGACTAACAAGGGGAACATTAATCACTGAAAAATACTTTGAGATTCTACCGAATTTATTAGAACAGGATGGGAGTCATGAAATGAGCAAGGACTTTGAAACCCAACCCACAGCCTCCCACTTTCTACTTGTGACTTGTGTCATCTTGGTCTATGACCTATAAGGTCATACCTTGCAAGGTGGTTGTAAGGGGTAAACTAACTGTAGAAAGTATTTGTAGTTCACAGTGGGAGTCATTAAAAACTAAGTAAACTTCCTGAAGAAAAACATGTCCTCCACATCTCTTATTTCCTGTATGATTGCATGTTAATGCATGTCAATTAAGGAGTACCAAATGACTAAGTATTGCATTTTGCAATTCTTACTACACAATTTAAAGAATTATGAAAATATATAAATAGAAATTAGAATATGTAGAGAAAACATCCCTCCCCCAAAAGTGGTTTCCACTACTAGTACATGAGAGCCTCTAAAACCACATACATCCTTTGCAATATCAAGTTATTTCTGGTATTGTAAGAAATATTTAATAAATAATCATGGTCTAATGACATCAACCCTGGATTAAATGATTCCATTTAATTCTGTGTCACTTGGGGAATACAGATATTGGAGGTTGTGAATATAAAACTCGAACATGAAGAGGAAAAAAAAAGTCAGGTACAAGAATCCAGCCACTAAGCAACGTCTCTATTCATCATTTGGTAATGCAATCTTATTTCCAAACTCCCTCAAATCCTAGTCAGTGCTTTTAAAGCTCCTTTTGATCTTTTAGCCTCATGGCAATCAGTGAACTCTTCATCATGCAGAACTATTAGAAAGGAAGTGTCTCTTAACTACTCTGGTTTACCTTTAATAGTCCTTTTCTGTCACTCAGTAATCTCTAATTGGGAAGAGGCTGTTGCCTGCCTGAGAATTGTCATTATATGATCTTTTCTGTCCTGTCCAGAAAAGAGGAAAAATAAAGTTTCTTGTCTAAGAAACTAAGGCTGAACATTGAGATCCAACTTTCAGGGTTTTCAGGGCAAAGAGAGCATTTGAATCTTGTTTGTAGGGATAAGAAAACTTCTTTCCCATGTTCATACCCATAGGCCTAAGTGGCTCCTTCCCTGGGGAGGAAAGTAAAGCTGTGAGGAACTTAGGTATTTCCTGGGTAATTTCCGCCAGTGAGAGGGGTCAGTGTGATGAATGGTGCCCCAGCTCTCAACTACTCTCTGTCCAGCAGCTCAGCCTGTACCTGGTGGCTGGAAGAGGGTGGGCCAGCATTTAAAATTCAAACCATCCTAAATCATCCCATGTCTTAGTTTGTTCAGGCTGCTATAACCACATACCATGGACTGGGTGACTTTATAGGCAAGAGAAATTTATTCCTCACAGTTCTGGAGGCTGAGAAGTTCAAGATCAAGTTATCAGCAAATTCAGTGTTTGGTAAAGGCCTGTTTCTTCACAGGCACCTTTTTGCTATAACCTGACACAGAAGAGGGCAGAGAAGCTTTCTTGGTTCTTATTTATACAGGCACCAAGCCCAGTTATAAGTGCTCTGACCTCATGACCTTCCAAAGGCCTTGCCTCCAAAAGCCACTACGATGGGGTTAGAAATTAACATACAAATTTGGGGAGGACACAAATTTTTAATCTACAGCATCCTGGCTAAATCTCAATCTCAAATCCAGCTTTAATCAGCACCTTGCATGGGTGTTATACAGCAAATTGGCTTCATTGTGCACCAAATAAGATACATTTCTCACTGACTATTAATCCTTATGAGTATGCTTGTTTGCTTCTGTAGAAAAGCAATCTGAAGGGAAAGAATGGGGGACAGGGAGATTCAGGTACCAAAGTTCACCCAAAATGAATGGATCCTCCACTTCAAACTCATTCCAGCTGCTGTTTTCCCCCTCTCACTGAATGGCCACTCCAACCTTTCAGTTACTTAAGGCCCAAATTACAGAATCATCTTTAACTTTTCTCCTTTGATTATCTACCTCTTATCTATCAGCAGATCTTGTTGGTTTTACCTTCAAAAGATACCCAAGAGCAGACCTAAATAGAGCTCTGCTCTTTTTACCACTTCCACAGTTACCACCCTGGTCTAAGCCACAAATGCCAGTAGCCTCCTAACTAGTCCCCCTGCTTCTTTCCTGCCTTGTATGTTCTGTTCTCACTACAGCCGCCAGTGCAATTCAGTATGCCACATTATGTCCCTCTGCTACTCAAAATCTGCCTTGCACTTCCTATCTTACTCAGAGTAAAACCAACACCAACAGGCACTCCTTTCTCACTGACTTTGTCTCCTAACACCTTCCTCATCATGAATTCCACTATACCCACTCTTCTCTCTGTGATTCCCAGAGTGCCAGGTAAGCTCCTGCTGCAGGGCCTTTATATTTGCTGTGCCTTCTACCAGAAACACTTTCCTCAGATACATTATTACTTACTAGCTTACCTCCTTAAGCTCTTTGTCAAAAGTCACCAGAGGCTTCCCCTTTCAACTCTATTTAAAATTATAGTCAGCCTCTTCTAACACTCCCTATCCACATTCCCGGCTCCAATATTCTCCATAGAATTTATTGCATCTGACATCTGATACATATACTGCCTGTGTTTCTATGGCTGCTATAACAAATTACCACAAATTTAGCAGCTTAAAACAATTCAGATCTATTATCTTATAGTTCAGAAGGTTAAAAGTCTCAGTTCTCATAGGGCTAAAATCAAGGTGTTGGCAGGGATACATTCCTTCTGAAATCTATAGTGGAGAATCAGTTTCCTTGTTTTTATCAGCTTCTAGAGGCCTCCTGCATTTTGGGACTCATGGTCCCCTTTCTGCGTTCAAAACCATCAACAGCAGGTAGAGCCCTTTCCATATTGCATCAATCTGGCTATTCTGTTTCCTTCTTCTTCTTCTTCTTCTTCTTCTTCTTCTTCTTCTTCTTCTTCTTCCAAGGCCTCTGGTGATTACCCCAAAGCCATCCAAATAATCCAGGAGTATCTCCATATGTTAAGATCAGTATATTAGCAACCTTAATTCCACCTGTAACCTAATTTCCATTGCCACATAATGTACCATATTCATAGGTCTTGGAGATAAGAATATGGACATTTTTGGGGTCCATTGTTTTGTTTAACACACAGCCTTTCTCTTTCCATTAGAATATAAATTTCACAAGACATGAATTTTTGCCTGTTTGGCTTATTGTTCTATCCTTACACTAGCTCAATAAATGTATAGGTACTTGCTGTAGACTGAAATGTGTCCACCTTCCCCAAAACACACATATTGAAACCCTAATCCTCAATGTGATAGTATTTGGAGATGGTGGCTTCAGTAGGTAATTGGGGTTAGATAAGCTGACGAGATTAGTGGGTCTACAAGAAGACAAAAGAAAGGAGAGGGATCTTCCTCTTTCTTCCATGTGAGGACACAGCACAAAAAGGGCCATCTACAAGGCAAGAAGAGAATCCTCCCCAGAAGCCAAATTGGCAGCCACCATGATCTTAGACTTCCCAGCCTCCAGAACTGTAAAAATCAAATGTTTACTGTTTAAGCCATCCAGTCTCTGGTATATTTTTAATAACAACCTGTAGACTAATGCAGCACTCAATAAACATTTATTGAATAAGTAATGAGAAGACCTCATCACAAGCACAGTAAATAGTGAACATCTATTATGCACCTACAATTTGCTAGGTACTTGTTAAGCACTATATATGGAATAGCTCACTGAATTCCCACAAGATCCCTATGGGTAGGTACAGGTGAGAAAAATCACAGACTAGAAAGTTAAAGTAATTGCTTAAGGTCATGCAGCCAGTACATTGTGTAAGCAGGTTTTAGATTTGGCAATGTGACTAAAGCCCATGGCTGTAATCCTGATCTTCCCCTACCACTATCTAATGTGTTGATGGGTACCTCAGGATCTTGCCCTCAAGATACTTACAGCATAATAAGGATGACAAGAGACACACAAATAGCAATAATATGAAGAAGACTATAGTGGGTAATATAGAAGAGGCCAAGACATTTTGGTGGATTGTAAAAAAGGGAAAGGTTAATTCCAGGTTAGGTTGATTGTAGGGAGTTTCAGGGACAATGTGACATTTGAGCTGGACTTAAAGATGGTATACATTGTCAGAGTTAGAAGTTTTGTTCAGATAGAGAGAACCACAGGAGTAAAGATACAAGAACCTAGAAAAGTGACTTCCGGCCAAGATGGAGGTGTAGGTAGACACACTGTGCCTCCTCACACAACCAAAAGAAGGACAACAACAATTTAAAAACAAAAAACAACCAGAACTGACAGAAAATCGAACTGTATGGAAGTCCGACAACCAAGGAGTTAAGGAAGAAGTATCCATCAAGATCCGTAAGAGGGGTGGAGACAGGCAGCTGGGCAGAGAGGACTTGTGGCAAAGCAGTGGTACAGGACCAGGATGGACAAGGTGGTGACTGGCAGACCCAGTGAAGCAGTGGATTGTGGAGCAGGGTGGGCAAGGCTGCAGCTGGCCAGCAAGGCAGCAGCTGGTAGACCAGGCAAGGTGGTGGTAGTCCCACATTCATGTCCGGATAAACCTGGAGTAACACCTGGAGAGCAAGACAGACCATGCAACCTGGGGTCCCAGGGCAGGGAAATAAAGACTCAAACCACCTATTGAAAACACTTTCGGGGGTTGAG